ACGGAAAGAACACTCATATACCAGGAGTCACATAGGGGGTGGTTTTTGGTCCCTCAATGTGTGGATAATGGGGACTCCCCTAATCCTCCAATAGGCATCCCTTTATGTGACTCCTGGTGTTTAGAAAAACGCTCCGCCGCCCCTCCAGGCCCCTTCCGCCTCAGACTCGTCAAAGGTTTTGGCCACGTTGAGGAAGCGTGCACGGACCTTTCTGCCGGTCGTGACGGACCGTCCACGAGACTGCCAGGGTATCGCTCGAGACGGCGGCATGTGCGGCATGTCGGTGATGTGCCCGTGTTGCACATGAAGCAAGCTGGTCCATAGCGGTTAAAATGTGAAGACATGTGACATGTGCATAGGAATAGCTCCTCTTCCTGAGCATCTAATAAAGCTTCTAACTTGCCAAACAACAACAGAACCGGTCCAAAACTGTAGAACAATCTGAGGAGCTCTTGAAGGTGTGGGACAAAAGATTGCTTCATGGCAATTCATGGTGGTTCAATCTCTCCTCATCAATTCCCAGATCGTTGAACAACACACTCACAAAGCTCATCTACCTCCTGCAGGAGGTGTCCTTTCACAACACATGACTTTCCGCGGCTTCCTAAGGCCGGCGCATCGTCGTTGCCTTCAAAACCAAGAAGCATATCGCCTAAGGCCTCGAGTGCGAGGAGAACCAGTTCGATCGGCGTGCTCCTTTTCAGTATGAGCCTAATGAGTTGCCTCCAATAGTCAACGAAATCCTCACGTCAATTACGGAATGCTGATCAGATCCTCCCGAACCCTGGGCCTAAACAAAACAATCTTGTGATGATGTGATGAGATTTGATGAGTCCCACTCTGCCAGGTGGAGCGATGCACTTTGGACCTCAGCCACCGGCCAGTCAACGCCCACCGCTTTCGACAGAGGTTTGCGCCTGTGAAATCCGCCTCGCGGAGTCCAAACCCACGTGACCTCGGTGAGTCCAAACAGCACGGGAGGACAACGCCGCGCGGAGTCCCAAACAGCATGGGGGAAACAACGGAGGCGCCCACGGATGCGCCGATCATCTCAGACCTGTCGCAGCATTTGTCCCACATGTGTCCAACTTGTGTCCAGTCTTGAAGTTGGCCCACTTCAATCCCACCCCCCCGCATGGAAAGTGGGTACATTGCCGAAAAAGACCCACCGGTTCTCGCGTCCTCTCGGATGCGGAGATGCGTTCGCGTCCTGCCTTTTCGCCTCATTTTGCCCAAGCGGCTGGCAAAGAGGAAGCGCTCTGAGGCCTTCCATTTCTCCTCAGCCCTTTTTGCTTGCAACTGCTTGGTCCGCTCCACGCAACCTGTACCGCTGATGAGGACTCCCAGAAAGGACCGGTGGACGATGGAATATGGGGGAAACAGGATGAACATCACAGGGAAAGTGGAAACATCAAGCATCAGTTGCCAACAGAATTGGAAGTCCTGCATCTGACCAACACCACCTTTCTGTGATCAAATCATCCGGCCTTCCGGCTAGTTTTGATGATAGTGAAACCATCGCCATTAGTTTAATCAGGAGGGATGTGCCATCTGTTTTCTGCTTACCTTTTTCCAGCGAGACTTGTTTCTGGTCAAGTTCACACACACAAACAAAAGAGGGAGTGAAACCTTGTGGCCTAAAGCATGGGCCAACAGTTTTTGAGGGCACGATATGTCCTACAGCACAGTTTCACCAAGCCGTCCACAAAAATGTTGTGACAAACGGATGTTCAGCCAAGTGTGCCCAACGAATTCAAATGTGTATCGTTCCTCCCCCATTTATAGAAACCTGTGGACACATCCTTTAAGTTGTACCTCCACAAACCACTCAAGCAAACAGCGTTGGTTTAAGCATACTTCTGATGGGGCGAACACTAACTAAACAACAGTATATAATATATACATACAATACAGTATATATTGTAACAATCATCATTGAAACAACATCAATAGCATGGTAACGTTCCCATTGTTGGTTTGAATGTTGTGTATTGTTTCCTTGCCTAGTCTCCGTGCTCCCTGTATAGAAATAGATGTTGATATATGATTAAATAATGATTCAATTCTATGTAGCAACATAGTGTGTTTGATTGATATACACAAATGCAAATACAACGTCGTAGGTATCCTCCCTATGCTCTCGTCCAGATCTCGCCCATGCCATTTGCCAGGGCGCGGATGATGATTTGGACGACTGTACTCTCCTCAGGTTCGGGAGAGAATACCCTTCTCCCTCCAGTGTGAACATCTGCAAAGAGCTGAGCCAATCGTCGCTTGGGAGCCGACCAACTTCCCTCCAAAAAGCGAACCATTCCACCACTAAAACCGTTGAAGTGTCGGGTCAAAAGGTCCTACTTCGAACTTGTCAACCCTAAATTGAGAACAAAAGCTTGGAATCTGTTTGTAAAACGAGATGTAGAGGAACATCTTGGAACCCGGGTCACAATGTAAGCTTACATGCTGGCAGCACTTGCAGCCTCCCACAACACAACACCACCGCCACCACCAGCAGCAGTAGTAGCAGCAGCAGCAACTACAACCACAACCACAACCAACTTGCTTAAAAAAGAAAGTGGAGCCCAAGACTTGATACAGTAAGGAAGGTTCTCCATGTTTGCTGCCCGGCGTGCACAAGGTTAGCCACGTTTAAGATGTTTAAGATAACATCCTTGCCCCGTGTGACACGGTTTTTTCCAGAGCTGCGGCAGCGGCACAACCAATTTCTCACCAGAACATGCCAGCAACCGTACTTGTCAGTTCACAAGTAAGTTCACGCCACGTGGGCTCTTCATTTTTCTCCCACTTCCACCAAAACAACACACAGCCCGCCGTTGGCATCAGCAGCACAACCACGGCAACAAATCAAAACCAAATGGACCAAGGCACAAGCTGCTCGCCCACCACTTCCCTCCAGCCAAAACACATCATCTGCAACACCCGACTCACCCGACCAAACTTGTTTCAGCAAACCCGCTTTTCAAGCAAGGCTAGAAGCACCCTAGCAGCAATCGACGACAACAACAACAGCAACAACAACCAAACGATCAAAAGATACACCAGCACCACACGGAAAGGGATAGTTATGTATATAATGTATATATATATATATTGTTTTATTGAAAGGACACATGCATAGTCAGGGGTGCCCATCAACCACCCTAACTCCGTGGTGCTGGCAAAACAATAACATCCACTGTCTGAGTCTCCAAGATGACCGCCCTGGTGCCCTGGACCATGGCCTGCACCGCCTGTTGCGCCCGCTGTGCACCTGGCAGCTCTTCTCGCCCTTCGCGAGACTTCTTGAGGAACTCTCGGGCATGGTGATAGATGGCACGGGTCACCTGGGCACGGGTCCCGAGTCCGGCCGTGTGTGGGAGTGCTGGTTCCTGTGTCTTTTTTGGTGTTCCTGTTTCTGTTTGGTAGAAGTAAAATGAAGTATATAAATAGGATGAATCCAGGATGAACAGGAATTGTGACAAGTCGGGGGGAATTCGAATTCAAAGAAACCATCTATACATCTAGATCTAGCTTGACACGTTGTAGAGGTTGTTGTAATGCTTACGTGCCAGCTTGCCAACACCTTTAGTCTTGATTTGATAGTTAAAGGAAAGGAAAGGTTCCGGTCATGGTCACTCCATGACCAATATGATTTCAAGGAGGTTCCACCCTGCCTGTGCTCACAAAGACACAATCCTGTTGTGACCCCCGGTGCACCGAACCATTCGTGGCTAGACTGAAAACACCACGACACGACAGTCATGCAGGGCGAAAATGGAAACGCACACATCTAGGGCATGGATCAGTTTCAACGCCTGTCTTGAGTCCGGACCCTGCCAGGTGACCTGCAACAGTGTATCCTCAATTAAACTCGATCCTTCAATCTCCCAAAAAATGGTCGTTCGCCTCCCATCTCCGAAGCTCTTCCGAGCCACCGCTGTATTGGAATGTTCCTCCAGTGCCGAGCTCGACTTCCTGCTTGGCAGTGGCGAGCCCTTGGGCGCCACGGACGAGCTGCGGCGCCCCGCCGCGCTGGGCGCGCGCGACCCAGCTTGGCTGGGCGCGCGCGACATGGCGGGCCGATCTTCATCGGCGCCCGAGAGGCGGCGTCGTGGAGAAAGTCTGGAGCCAAACAAGATGGTGGTATGGTATGATTGGTATGCTTCAAACAAACGACTTGAGGATGAATTGTTATTATCAAGTCTACAGTAGTTACAGTAGCAAGATGATGTTATTTGGATCGCCTCCAAAGAATCCACAGAATGGTTCAAGAACGAGCAACAAGGTTTGGGGGACAATTACTTGAATAAGTTGGACACCTCACAAAATGATCAGGAAACCACCAAGCCACCAGTGTATGCCGGACTCTTCGATTGAGACCTTGCACACCCAGCTTTCAGACCTCCAACCCGCACATGGCGGACCGGCGAACCTTGCGCCCAAAGGGGGAGAGAGCACTACGACTGGAAACACAAGGGATGGACGAAGGGGTCACAAGGGGTCAATGGATGAAACATGATGAAACCATGATTGAAGAGGAAGGGAGCACGATGCAGCATGAGGGGGCACGAGGGGTCGGATTCAACACAAAAGGGTAATGAAGGGAGCACGAAGGATCAATGGATGAAAATCGATGAAGCGTAGGGTGGGAATTGGGAGCACACAAAAGAGCAATGGATGAAACAGAAGGGGCAACAATGCCTCCTTCATTCCTCCATTGTGCTTCGTTCATTTCCCCCTCATGACTCATGCACCTTTGATTCCCAACTTGTGTTTCATTCCTTGCCGGCTCGCACCCTGTTCATTCGGCTCCCTTGTGTTTGATTTATTGTCCCTCGCGCACCTACCAATCGACCTTCCAACCAACCAACCAACCTACCTACCTACCTACCTACCACGGGGGCATTCACCTTCTTAAATCCTTCTTAAGTCTTAGATAGCTCAGATTTCACCTCGATGGCCACACACAGTCAAAGTCCTCATCTGACACAACAAATTGGCGCCTAGCGCATGCATCAACAGCTGCCGTGGCTGGCCAGAGGCATGTGCGACCAAAAGGACGATGTTTCGCTTGGCATAGGCCTCGATCCTGGGCGATCCAAACATTACTCGAACATCAGGTGCGTCGCCTCGCTATTAGTAACAAGGATGCTACTAGTAGCTCCTGGCATTGCTACTAGGAACAAAAAGCTATATACTAGTAATAAAGGGCATCACTACTAGGAGCAAGAAGCTACTAAAGGATGCCCCCAAAGTCACACCATGTGAGTCCATGTTGTTTCGCTGAATTTAGGACATGAGGTGTGCTCGTCAGGTTTTGCTGGGAAGTCTCAACACCTGGACTCTGTAGATATATAGGTGCTCCCTATGTGCGGTGCAGGATTCCCCGGAAAACTCAGGAATCATCCTGTTCTGATGGTGCAACCCCGCAATGACACTTTGGGACAGGGAACATGTGGCCCAAACAATATAAAACCATATGAAACCCTGACCTGCAGGTCTCCTGCTCCATCTGCCGTTCCAGTCTTCTCTTTTGATATCCTTTGATGTCATTAGTGGGTGGTCTTGTTTTTGGTGCTTGAATCCTAGGCTTAAAACAGATCAAGGTGTAGGTCTGAACGGTCTGAACCCTTCACACACCATCGGTTGTTAAGATGTCTACGATCGAGAAGCCTGAGGTTTGGAAGGAGGGTGAGGTGGTAGAGGGGCTAGTTTGCCAACGTTGCTGCCAACTACAAACGATTCGATACATTGAGGGAGGCTTTAGCGGTTGACGGTGGTAGATTCCCAACCAATGAGAAGCCAAGGGCGCAGTTTTGCTGAATTTGGGACTCTTGGGCTGCAAGTTGACCCAAAGACTAAGGGCCGGCAAGTAAGATCTTGTCCACCTGGAAATCATTAGTGAAAACGCATGCCGAAGCAAAAGCACTTTGTCCACCTAAAGCTGCATGCGCATTTTGACTTTGCCACGTGTACTAGCTCGCAACGTGCAGACATAGAGTCCAAAACAAGCACTGCCAACTGCATAATAGTTGTAGGAGGATTATATAGGTTGACTGAATGTGTGGGTAGTGAGTAGTGAGTTTCCTGAGTTTCCTACATGGTGGTTAGCCAGGGAAGCTGGAACCCTAAGAGCTCAGCCCGCCGCTGTTCGCCAAGGTACATGGTGGACAAGGCCTCCAGCGCCGAGGTGTCCATGAAGGAAACCTCATGGACAAGCAAGAATGTAGACTCTTGATGTAGCAAAACCACCCCATTTGAATTAAACAACCTCTTCACGTAGGGGCGGTTGATTAATCAAGAGGTTACATCAAAGGGCTTCCGGAGTTTTGCATCTGGCGGTTGAATAGGAAGTTCTGCCCGCATGAGTTTGCAGGCATAGTGTCATGCTTTGAACATCATCGAAACATGACACCGGAACCAGGACCCAATAATATCTCAATATCAGTGCTGTACTGTACTGTACTGTACTGTAGGATCTCTAGGAATCCCACCCCCATCCGCCCCTTAACCAAAACAACCACACACAAAGACAGAATCATAGAAATAACATGAAATAACAATGATGTCACCCCAAGAGAACTTCTTTTCCTGTACTCACTGACACTCCTTCCCGCCCTTCTCCGAGCTCGGCTCGGCTCGCCCCCGCGGATGACTCACCGAGCTGCGGCCGCGAAGGACAGGATGATGGCCTTCACCGGGCACCCCGCCTCGGTGAAGGACCGTCCGTGGACAAGAGCGGATCATCTCCGTCCCTAGGGCTCCTGGCCTTGGCTATTCTCAGGTTCGGTGGTTATTTTTCTCCCCCCCCCGGCACCACCCCAACCACCGAACCGAAAGGGAGGTAGTTGGAAGGATTGGACCCCCCAAACAGATTGTCAATGTCCCTCAATTTACATGAATATGCTGTAATCCACCCCTACCATTCAAATAGCTTGCATCATCTTGCATCTCAGCACTGAGGAAGACACCATACTGGCGGAAATCTCCATCTCGTCCAACCACTCCTGGCAGGCAGCTGCGCAGCAATGCTGCTACAAGCACTTGGTGCGATCCAGGAAACAGTTGCGTCCTGTGCGTGGTGGTTACAGTTGCACAGTTACTTTTTGGGGCTGGGATTCCTTGGAAACAGGGCTACTTACTGGACCAAAAAGCCCTAACCATGACCAAAAACCTAGACCCAAAGGCACGCTCAAAGCTTGGAGGAAAACATGTAACAGTAATAGCAAAAATACGAGTTTTCCGTGTTTCATGAGGCGGTGGACCATCGGCTTCTCATAGGCTTTCCGACTCTTGCCCTCCAGTTCCAAGGTTCATCTGTCACTGCAAGTGTCCTTAACGTTTGAGCAGCAAGTTAGCCTGGAAGCAATGCTGGAAGCCATTGATGGCTTGTGGAGGCATGAGGCAACCAAGCTCGCCATCGGCATCGCTCGTTTCACATGCCACACGTGGAGAACAAGTCCATACATCATATGGAACCCATTTCTTGGCCAAAACTACCTTGCGGTGATTTGATCCTAGCGAAGAAGTGAACTCCTCAATTTGGAACCCCTCATTTCGACCAAAAACATGCGGGCCACCATGGTCGCTCAGAACGGCTCCCTGTTGAATGGGACATATGGATACCCCTGGCTCTGAAGATCTCTGAAGTAACTACAGTAAATCCCTCATCCTTTGGGCTCGCACCAGTCACCAGTCATTCATCCCACGGCTCCGAGTAATTGGGCTCTCTTGAAGCCTTGAACAATTCCCTTCACCCAGCTGCCACACGTTGCTACACCCGACCAACCATGCCACCCTTCCCGCAGCCGCCAAGCCATCACTTCCATCCCCCGTCCAACCCCACCAAAACGATCCCAAAACGAACTACCCACCACGCAGAAGTAGCAAACAGGCGCACCCTCAACATCCACAAGTCACCAGCCATGACAGTCTGTCCAGCAGCAAACGTGTCTCGGCCCCAAACCGGCCGAGCCCGTCACCTCCAAGCGTTCGGTGTTGGCGTAGAACAAGGGCCCTTCAGGGCGCACGGCCAGGACCCCCGGGTGCTGCTCGGTGTCTCGGCGCTCCTGGACGGGAGACGGATGAGACGGGGTGGGTGAGTCAGACTGAGAACGCGAACGCCTGATGAGCAACTGGAAATGTTCGGGAAGAAGTTGTGTCATTAGAAGGGAAGAAGGAGGTGGGGTGTCCGACAGATGCCCGGTGCCCATTCGGAAGCTGAAGCACTGCCCGTCCAACAGGGAGATGTGGAAATCCCCTGCTCAGTTGCAGCTGCCCCAAACATCAAAAGGATTTCGAACCGTCGCCTTCATCGTAACTAATGTAGACTCTTGATTAATAAAGCACCCAATTGAAATGGAAAATCCTCTTCATATGGGGGGTTTACTAACCAAGAGTCTACATTATATAACTTGGCTCAATTATCAACGTCACATCCAAGTTCTCTTAGCCAAGTCACATTGAAACCACTGACTACCGGTCGCGTGACCACCCGAGGTCTGGCCTGTCCTTGACATTGAGCCAGCGATGCCGGCACTGGCAGTAGCCTTAGATCTGCTGGGTCCCTCAATAGCGCTGGGAGATTGAATGAGAAAATCATGCAGGACATATTGTTCTATTTATTGAATGCTACTACTAGAGGTGAGGGACAACCCAACTCTCTTGGGGCATGTGATTGTGAAGGCAAGCTTGCAATAAGCGCTTTCTTCATCAGGTATGTTTGAAGGGTCTTGTACTCCCCATGGCAAAGAGTGTCTAGCACCAGGTCAAAACCTTCAAGTAGGATATCTTCAACATTCAACATCCACCGTCTTCGGCCCCCTTGATAGAGGTTGAACATGATCACCTCCCTGAAATTCACCATGAAAGTGGATAGCACGGCTATCTAAAGGATCTTCCGAATACTAAGCAGGTGGCGTGTGCCTTGTGAATCAGTCGGAGTGTATACTTTCTCTCGCCTCAAGAAGTTCAGAGAAGCACCACATCTCTTTTAAAAAACTCTTAACCCATTAAACCTAGGCCCATCCACTTCCCTGGGGGTCGGCGGCTGCCAGGCGCTAGCCTGGTTAAATATACGAAGGAACGCGTCCGTGGAAATGGCAAAATCATGATCCGGATCCAAGACCGTCTCCCAGCGGCACTCTGGATGGAACAGCTGCGTGAACTGGACAGCTGTCAGAAGCTTCGGAGCGAGTAAAGAACGGGTGAGTGAGGATCATGCACGCTGTCTCCTACCAAATGGCATATCGCTTTCGCAGCAAAAAAACTATATATAGATATATATATATAGTTAATTATGATTATTGGAATCCTCTGAGCGAGCTACATAGCGTTGAGGGAGCTACGACATGTCACCGTGCACTCTAAATATGCAGGAAACTGCACATGTCGCTCCCTCAACTCTTTTGCCTGAGGAAGCACGTATTTATGTGTTTAATATCCGATCCAGTTCCCTGTGACGAAGGTGTGCGACTGTCACTGTCCCTGGACACGGGGTGATTGTGGCATAGCCCTGACGCCAGTGCCCGGGAGCCCTTGATGCTTCCTCAACTAACCATGGCTCAAAGCCGTTTAAGCAATCAAATCTTCCAATCTCCCATCAACTTCGGGCTTTATATCAAGATCTCGTACGTTCAATGCATGCCAAACTCTGTTGAAACCTGTGGCATACTACATACTGCGTATAGTATGACCTATGCATCTATGGTAGGTTGTTTCAAAAGGGCGGATATAGGGCCTACAAATCAATTACACACTTAGCTCCAAGAAGGAAGCTTCCTATTTTGCCTGATGATGCTCTCCACAACATTCACAAGCTGCCACCTCTCCACAGTTCCAAGCTGCCCAGGGTGGTGATGGGTGGGTCGGCCACCTGGTAGACGATCAACACCAACGAGACCACCACTGCGCCAAGAATCCCTGCAGAATCCGACACGGCACTGTCAAGAAGGGTGACGGCCGCGGTACACATGAAGAAAGAACAAAAAACCATGAGATGACGACAGGGTCCTCCGTTCATGACTGCTTGGGCTGCTTGGGGCTGTCGTTCAGGAATGCTTGTTTTTTTTTGGTCTTCACCTACATCTCCCTGTGTTGCTCGAAGATCACGTGGCGTCATCCGAAAAAGGCCAGGGAGCCTCTGAGTCCGGAGTCGGTTCTCCATGTCTCAGTGTGCTTTTTCTCTCCATGGCGTTCTTTTAGCTTTGCGGCGCTCTGAACTAGGTTGTTGTATTAATGTTAAATCAAAAGCTCAAGGTCACCTACACCTACCACGGCACCCATTCAGCATCTTACATATAAGGAACTTTCGCTAAAGATGGTGCTTTCGACACTGCTGGTGCTTTCGTGACAGGGATAGGATGTGGTGCTAAGGTTGCAGGGTTGATCGAGGTGTGAGACTAGTGCGTGCCAGCCTACTGAAGAGCATTTGGCTCTTAAGGGTGCGGGCCAGTTCACGCCAAGTGGATGATGGCGGCTACTTTGAAGAAACCCTCGAGGAAGCGCCCGGCCGGGAATGTCTGCAAGCGCCCAGCCAAGAGGACCACGGGAGAGGGGAGTCGCTTCAGTTTGGGCAATCGTGTGAGTGAATGCTATTTAGTATTTGATTTTGTAATGCGGCTCAATAGGGGGAGATGCCGGTTTAGAGCATCACAGCATCACTTTTAGTCAAGTCAGCCTTGGAACAAGGCCTAGATAGCATCCATAATTGACACGTTCAGCATCGTTCAACACATGTTGCAGTGCAGCACGGTTTCCACCAATTGGCGCCTTGCATTCAATGCCTCGGCCAAAATTGGCCCAGCTGCTCGCCAAGCCATGTCAATGCGGAGCAAGATCGTGTCTCACTCAATTTGAGAACAATCTAGAAAGAGTCCAACAAGAGCGAGATCGGTACAATGCACTTGATGACTCTCGCAAAGAACCTTGCATGGCATGGACATATTTTGTTTTTTAACCACACCAGTAGGAAGGGTTTTGTTTTGCTGACCCTAAGTCAAGTGTTCCACACCAATTATTTCCAAACAACACGTCCAATGAGAATGGTTGTTGGTAGTAGGCAAACTACAAGAACCTGTTTCGGGGTCAATGAAAAACTCTGTCAGGAAGATCTGGTGAGAATGTGGTATAACATCCAACTTCCAGAAAGCCTCACTGGGAGTGATCAAAAGCTGGATGCGCTGTTGTATCAAAGCGATGATGAAGTGGGCACAGGAGATTGTGATGAGGACAGGGTTCTCCTTCAAAGTGATTCTGAAGGTTCTCAAAGCGATTGTGATATGGATGGGGCTATGCTACTTGAATCAGATGATGATAATGTCCAAGAGGAACCTGAACCGTCCAAGCGCCGGAAGTATACTGCAAGGCAAACAACGCCATTCAGCTTTCTCGGTAGGACTGTTTGTGCCAGGGCTCACCAACAGCTCTATGGGATCAGCTCCAGGGTTCTACAAAACCTCCGTGAAAACCTGCCAGGGTATACTATGCATGAAAAGCGGTTGCAAGAACCCAAACACAGTGTACTGAAGGTGTCTCTGAAGAGAAACTCTGAGAACATGCAGTGGCCGCATGTAGTCACCTTCTTTTGGATCTTGTACATCTCTGCCGCGGAGGTTTTGCCTACAAGGCTTGTCATGCCGAACTGGCAAACCGAAATTGTGGAGGGTGACCCAGACTTTTCTGAGCGCTTCACATGTGGCTTCCTCCGAGATGTTGAGAAACACTTCGAGTTGAGTCACCCAGGTCAAATCGGCCCGGCCACTTTTCAAGGGCCCCGGAGGTATCTTGAACACGCCAAGCCGATTGACCTGTACATGCAGTACACTGCTTACGCAGACGCCGAAAGAATCAAACCGGCATCCCGGGCAACCTTCATGAGAGTATTTCGAAGGGTGTTCTCCACCCATTTGAAGTTCAGGGATAAAGCTGAATTTGGACAGTGCGAGATCTGCTATCGGTACAAACAGAAAATAAAGAAATCAGCAACCAGGTCGGAGAGGCTGACATGGACAAGATCCTACGGCAACCATTTGTTTGCTCAGTGGAGAGACCGACAATTCTACTGGCGGATGAGGGAGCTCAGCCGACAGTTCTTTTCACAGCAGCTTGCTTTTGGAATATCTAAGATTCATTCACTGGAACTGTCTTCTTCAGTGCTGACTACAATCATGGATGGAATGGACCAGTCCAAACTGAGGGTTCCAAAATGGGGCTACGTTAGACTGCCTAAGTCGTTAGAAGTGCTATACCGTCCAGCACTACATCTGGCTGCCACTTGGATCCACGGAGACCGGTTGTGGCTGAGTGTCAGCGACGAGAATGTCAAGAAAAACTCGGCCAGTCAAACAGAGCAGCTCGTGCGAAGTTTGTCAAATTTGCTGACAACGACATCCCAGCTCCCGCTGCACTTGCACTGTCAAACTGACAATTGTTTTCGTGAAGGCAAGAACCAATTTGTCAGTGCCTTCATGATGATGGCAGTTGTGCTAAAGATCTTTCGAAGCACCAGCCAAGGCTACCTAAGAAAAGCCCATAGCCATGAAGACGTCGACCAAGTCTTCGGACAAGTTGCACGTCTTCTTCAAGGGAAAGCAGTCGCCACTGCTGATGCTATGGTAGATTTGCTGAATGCTTTGACCAAACGGCAGGGAACTTCTACAACATCAGCAGGGCATATACTAAAATCCTCTTGTTCTGCCTACAGACTGGACGAAGTGACGTGTTGGCAACCCTTTGTGTCCCAGCTTGGTGTTTTCCTCAAGGGGATGCGCCATGTGCACTACATACGCTTTTGCGAGAGAAAGGATATGGGGGCCGACATCCTTGACAATGTGGCTGAGGTTGAGGAGATGAGAGGACAGAGAGATAGACACCCTGAAGACATCTTTGTTGTCACAAAACAGTGGCTCGCTGATACCAACATAGCTAGAGCGATTTGCGTTATGCCTTTTCTTGCAGCGCAGCAAGTGCGGACCGGGTACGCTCTTCCAGCAGGGTTGGAAGAGAGAAGACCCATTTCAGATTCAATGAGGAACAACATCAATCGGTACGCAGCAAAATGCCAAAGACTTGGCACACTCAGCAAGGAGTCAGCCGACTATTTGCTACAGTGGGTTGGGGGTACATTGCCCAAACATCCCAAACCTACCTTGTATGGCATCCTGACATACCGGTACATTCCCGCATTGAGGGGTGAAGCTGTGAGGCATGGCGCATGGAAGACACCAGCTCGAAAGAAACATGTCAATTTATCGCTGGTGCCAGATGCGGAACTAGATGAGGGTTCATCTTCGGATGAAGGGGAAGTGGTCTTGCCACAAGCTTTGCTGAACGCCAGCTGAAAAGGGAGTGTGAGAAAAATGCAGTGTGTTAATTCAATCAAAAACTAATCAAACACGACCAGACCAGCATGTGTTTTTTTATGGTCCTGCTCCTTTGTCTCTCAAAGACTTGTTTTCACACCCGGCCCTTGGGTCTTGGTGGAAGGTGGCCAAACTCAACCTTTTGTTCCCCTTTGACTGCCGCGCCATCCAGCTCTTGCCTTGCGCTCTCCAGGACCAAAGAAGACATGGAAGCACTCGAGGATGGAGCTTTGCTTTATTGTTCTGACGGAGGCCCGAAGGCTGTGCCATTCATGATGTCACACCCACTGTTGTCACTATATCCCAGAATGTGGGCGGGGTAGTCTTATGCGACCATGAAACCCATCACCATTCAAGTTGTGTTACCCTCGGCCACTTCGCCACTTCACTGCTGGCACCCGTTTGCAGACCAAGAAGACGACCAAAAGACTGAGTTCGAAGACCTTGGACTACTGGAGGCTTCAGAGGAGGAGGGGGGAAGCAGCACACCTGCAGCTGACACCATGAGGAAACTCCCTTTCAATCACATTCCCAACGCTACTTTGCTTAAGAGTGGTCGGAAACAAAGTCTTTTTACTATGAATCCTCGGACCTGGAATTGGACTCCTCAGCTACACCAAAAAATGTCAAGCCAAAACATGTATGGGACCCATATTGACCCAATGCATTTTGTATGTGCCGTGTTTCATCTCATCTATCTTCCACTAAAAGGATTTGAAAGGGGTTTTGCACGCTTGGCAATCTCAGGTCTCCGACTTCGTGCAAATCTTTCTGAAGGAGCCGTGCTTTGACGGACTTCGGCAGAGGTTGGTGTCCACGTTCCGCAAAGTGGACACATTGCGAGTGGGCAGCATGTGCTCGGGTTGGGGAGTTCTGGAGATGGTCCTGGGACGTCTTCAGGAGGAATGGAACAAACAACCAGTTGGAACAGGTGATTTCAAGGCCCGTTGTTTCAACCATACACAAAGAGTACATAATACTGACTGTCATCTGTAGAATTTTTAACATAAAGGACACAAACACTGGAAAGCAAGTACCGTATGATTTGCGCTAAAGTTCAGTAAGATATTATTGTCAATCTGGCTAAATTAAAAAGAACCCTCCAGGCGGAGCTTGCATTCATGGTGGAGAACGACAAAAGGAAGCAGGATTACTTGCGTACCCGCTTCCCTCATGCTGAGAGGGTCTTCAATGACATGTCGGAAATTGGCAACAAAGTAGCTTCAACGTGGGATGGAAGCTATCACAAAGTTCCTCAGGTGGGGCACCCCAATTTGCTCAAACATGGAACATGTGGGTACGACTTTTGAGTACGTAATGACAGCTAGATCCTTCAGAAAACATAAAATAGAACTCTCTTGTTTTTTCTTTGATTCTTTAAACTGTTCACCGGCCAGGTGGACTTGCTGGTGGCAGGCTTTCCTTGCGTCAACGTGAGTCAGCTGACCACCACTCCGGGAAGTGTGCTGGACCCTTCATGCCAAAGTGGTTTAGGTTTCCAATCGGTTGGAAACTATGCCAAGAGACACAAACCTGCGATGATTCTACTTGAGAATGTAG